GCTGGAGGGCTGCCATTCACCCTGCATCTCCCTGCAGCTGCTTTCCCATCTGCTGCTGGAAGCCATTGCCCTCCCTTTAGATAAGACCTGAGGCCTGGAGACAGAAGATTCGGTTGCTCTAAGCAAACAAATTTTTTTCCCCCAGTTCCCAGTTGCAGAGACCAAAACCTGCTGTGTCTAGAATCATTGCTGGATTGCTACCACAGCACAGCCTAGGTCTCCGTTTAGTCAGCTTAAAACCCAGGTCTCAGAGATCCCAGCTGCCAAAGCAGTATTTTTATTCCTCATCCATCTAGACTTGCAGGCCACATGCTTGGTCACCAAATAAATGGCACTTGCCCATTTTCAGATTACTGGTAAGAAGGATCATGATTTTAGTTCATAGAAAGCCCTTTTATCCTATCATGGGTCTCTTGTTGCAGGGACTATATTTTCTGCAGGAAATGTATGCATTTCATTAGAAAAGCTCTTGATTTGTTGTTGGTTTTTTATTTAATTTAACATAGCTTAATATACATACCAGAAACAAAACATCAATTGCCTCTGCTGATACTTGGAATTAGCCGACATTTAGCCTCACACATAACCAAATGTAACATTTTCAGTAAAGATTCATATGAGATACAAACATTCCCTCTGCTCTCCCAGAGTTGTCCAAACTAAAGACTAAGTGGAAATACAAAAAGTCTTTTTGAAAAACAGGATATTTCTGAGTACAGAAGACAGACATTGTTGAGATATATGAAGTCCATATTTGTGAAGAGATTACCAAAAAGGATCCTCATAAAACTAAGAGCAGGTATAAAGGGAGTTCAGGTAAATTTTTATCTAAGGCATCATTTTGAATTTTCCTGACTTGCTGCATCACACAGTTTTTACAGGATGTAAAAAGAGAATGCAGCCTGAATGCATGAATTTGTTAATTGAAACATACAATGAAGCATACAGTGAAATAAACAAAAAAATTACTTGATTCTTATTGCCACATATTGACCCCCTAGTCAGTCAAAATACATGAAGGGCAAATAAGCAGGCAAAAGAAAACAGAGAAAAAAAGCAGGCATTTCCTTCCAGGATAAGAAAAAGCACAAGCAACACTAACAGCCTGCTTTCAACCACCTCATAACTGGCCAACACTAGGAACACAATCAGCTCTAAAACCCCTCAAACTTACGGCATCCAGTCAGTGCTCTATAGTCTTAGCAATTACTTTTTACTGAGGTATCTTCTTGTAGCTTATGTTAAGGATGGGTTCTTTCTGGTTTTGACTAAATATTGATAAGAATCCAGGACACTGGCCTACAGAAGTAGACGTAGCAATCTACAAATTCAGCCGCTGTCCAGCTTTTGTGTTCCTCGGAGCTCCAGGGCATTTCTCCAGAACGCCCACAGACTCTCTCTCCAATAAACTGCACACCCAGTCTGGAAGTTGTAACATAATAGTTTGTGGAGAAGAGACAACCTAGCAATCATTTTTAACCAGAAAAACTCCCTAGCATACAGCAGGGTGGTAAGGAATGTGCCAAAATCCTGAGGGTCTTAAAAATACATAACAATAAAACATCATTAGAACATGCATGTCAGCCTTGAAGAATCTTATTTCCTAATCTCTGAAATTGCTTAAATGCAGAGATCTGTGACTTGTTTTCATGATTGTTAGAGAAAGCACATAGTTACACAGCAACTGATGACAAATCCCGTGTTTGGTTATATGAGTGTATTTCTTATGGCTAGCTGAAAGCTGCCTTAAAACTCTATTCCAGGAAACAAGACTGGATAGGTCAGTAGTTTTAAGGGGCTCTTGATTCAAAGTCTAATCAAACTAGGTAAAAAGTATGTTCAGACTAACCATATATCTTTTGCGAGCCTCAATATTATTTAACTCCAGAAACCACTCTTTATTTGTAACGCCTGAGTGTCTAACCTTCTAGACGGAAAGTTGTACAGCCTGTGACACGCCTACAACAACCTCGAGGCTTTAAAATAACGAATGAAAACACTGTTTCTTCCTGCTAAGTCCTGGCTTGAGAAACTAATGAGTACACAGCGTGCTTTATTTCTACCTAAAGAACACAAAAGATCTTTTTCAGCAAATTTGAGGTGCAAATTTGAGCACAGGAAAGTAAGAAAACATTCAGTGCATCTTAAATGGGTAAAAAATTAGATGTAACTAATATTGCCCAAAGTACCCATGCTATTAAAGTACTTCAAGATCAGGTAAACTGCTGACTTTTAAATTACTTTAAAGTTTAAGACAAGTTACTTAAAGTCTCTGCCTCATAGGTGAATGGTGCATACAAGAGCACACCCTGTAATGCTATGTTTTCTGAAGTAAATAGAAGAGATTGAGGCAAGCGAAGTTACCTCCCACTTTAAATCTGCTATTACATCAAAATTATTTGGTAAACCATTTCAAATAGTAGCTGCATCAATACATGTGTATAACTGGAATTGAAGCTTGTTTTCTTTGTGTTGCTTCTAATGCAACTTGGGATATACCATATCTCAAAATGTAAGTCTGGTATTAACCCAATACTCGGAGGCCTTCATTTTCATATGATTTCCCAGGAGAAAAAGAACAAAACTAAACAAACAAACAAAAACCATCCAAACCACAACAGTTATACTAATGTGACCCTTCTGCCAAAAGCCTCCTGTACATGAACAGACCATTACAGCAAATTTTAACTAAAATTACTTCCCATAAGAGGTGGACATAATTCACCAACTTTCCCCAATTCTCTTTACAAAGATATGTTAAAAAGAGCAAAGAAACTCAAAAACCTGTTGTCTGATAAAATCATTACCTACACCTGATTCAAAGCAGAAAACAGAAATCACCTAGATTTCTATGTGGAATATAAAATAGTTTGTAGTGTTTCAGAGCTTCATCAATTTATGAGGCAATTACCAAAGGCTGACAATAATGCATATGAAATAAAACCCACAATTTCTAAAGATTCAGTCACAAACAAATTCAGACTCAATTATTTAGCAAGTCCATGCAGAGACAGCTTTAACTGTCTAGAACCAAGATATACTGTGAGGACATTTATGAGATGTTTTGCCTCATTTTTAAGTCTCATATCTGCAATGACTCACCTAGCTTACAGTGTTATTTCATTCAGAAAAAAAAACGAAATCTTGTCATCAGAAAGCTTTGGATTATATAGAAGTAAAGGGTTAATTACAATAAATAATCAAACCCAGGAACTGATATCTTCCACTGAATAGAAATTATACTGAACATATCTTTCATGAATCCTATACCTAAACAGATTTTTTTTTTTCCCCATTGAAAGCTGGAAGAATATCATATTATTTGTACGAAATGTCACAATCACTCATATCACAAATAACATGCTAGGCCAAACAAAGGAGATTCATTCTCTGCTATTTAGACTATTCCTTCTATCAAGCTACCTCTTTGATAATTGCAACATTAATTTTTCACTTGGTTTCCCCATGGGGCTGTGTAACAGACACAATACAACCACTAGTCACCTGCAGACCAGCAGGCAGTCACAGCTAATTTTAACTTATATTGCTTCATATAAAAGGGTCAAGCTTAACTGCTTTATGTAGAAACTGGGAAGAGAACGAACTGAATCCCTGTCAGAAATCAACTGGTTCCCCACCAGGACTGTACAATCCCAGTAGCCCTTCATCAAGAGCACTGTAGATTCAGTTCTTTTGTTCATTTGCCAGCCATAAGACTGCAATGCCTTGAACACATATCCGTCTGATAAAGAATTATGAACTCAAATCAGTGGAAAGCCAATGAAATTCATCACCATCCTCAGCAGCATGACAGGTAATACAAACCTTGCAAACCTGATTTGCACAGACAAAGATTTAAAATATGTAGTTTTACTACTCAAAAGCTAGATCTGCCAAAATTGCTGGAGTTTTAACCCTTGTTCTACTATGATTATTTTGTATTTATTATATACATATGCTGGCTGGCCCATTAAACACAAGCTGGAAATTCCAAGATTTCATCTGTATCTTCTTAACATACAGAGGATAACACATACAGAACAGAGGGACAATCAGAATCTTAGAAATATTTATTTCCTGCTTCCATGATAATGATGAGTTTAAGCTGTTTCTTCTCCTAGAGCTTTATCAGCGATAAATTTGAAACATTCTGTAAGATTCCCGTAAACCTTAAATAATACACTTCTCTGAATAGAAACTATTTGCACTGTATGACTGAATTTCACAGGTATTTCTGTAGCTTGAAAGGGGTACACACATTCAAAAAAAAAGTTATAATACGAATCAATCTAATCAGTATTGTGTGCTCCAGGTCTATGAAGTTTAACAGCCCAGGAAATTAACTAACAGACAACATTTTAAACACTGGATTTACACATTTCTTTGAATGTGATAAGCATCTCAACCGTGTATTCCATTACCCATATTTTTATGATCTGACTTTGTAGATATATACATAACTAATGCACTGGCCTGTTTTAAAGACTGAAATTATTAATATTTTAAAATAAGTGTTGATTGCACTTGAAAAAATAACCACAGATTAATATCATGCCCCCTTCAACAGATCCCATCAAAATACATCAGTAGCTTCACTCTTCAGAACAGAAATACACAGTAGAAAAGAAGCATCAAGGCAGAGCAACCAAAAGAAAAACTCAGTCAACTAATAGATGAAGAAACAAGAAATGAAATGACAACAATCAAGTCATTAAGGCCCAGCTCCCCTCATTGAAGCCAATTAGAATGAGATTGAGAATTAGGCACAAACATTTTCTTAGAATGCAATTACAGGTGCATCTAAAAAAATTCTAGAACGAGAGCTGGTGTACTACCAAAAAGTATACACCAAATATACTGGCATTTAAAGGTTTTTAAATTATTTCACTGTTCTTTAACAAATTGCCCTCTACACAGACTTGCAACAAACACATCATCACATTGACACATGCTATTAACTAAATATCTCTATTGCATTTTATGATCAGAAGATACTATACCTCTGTCTGAAGTATGGCAGCTCTTTGTTCTTTGGCAGTAAGTGACTCTTTAAGCACTTCAATGTGTTGCTTGCAATCTGAATTCTGATTGCTAAGGGTTTCAAGCTTAGTTTGTAAGGCAAGAAGCTCTGATTCTTTCTTTGACAGTTCTTGTTTCAGTTGATCAATCTGTAACAGGAAAAAGAAGGTTAGATCGTTATTTTCATTTCCAATTCATAGTTGCACTTGAAATCTGAAAGGTGTGACAAACATGATACGACAACTCAGACACCTGTAAATTCTGGAAGAGAATTAGTTTGTGGACTTTTTACACTCACACCTTTAAATTACAGGAAACTCAATTGATGTACCCTGTCTTAAGAATGATTGTCCTGCTGTTGCAGATGTTAAAAGGAAATTGCTAAAAACTGTACATGATGATTTGGCCTATAAATTAACCATGGACCTCACTTAAGTTCAAAGGAATTTATCCTGTGTGAGGCAAGTTTGGCAGGACAGCAAAAATGCATAGAAAAAAAAAAGCATTCCTAAAAGTATAAATTCAATTCAATAGCCTATTCCTTCCAACAGAATGATTCTTGTGACATCACTGGCCAGCGTGAACAAAGGTTTTTTTAGGAGCCTGACAAGGAAAAGCAGGCATCTTAGTAAGGAGAGGAAAACAGAGGAGTGGAATACAGAGGAGTGGAATTTTAACCTTACTCTTCCTGCAAATGCATTGCTGCCCACCATCCCCACCTCCTTTTTCCCTCCCTGGCAGTTCATACAGAATTCTCAGGTACTAGGAAAGCCAAGCCAAAGAGATTAACCTAGGAGAAGTCTGGGGAAAACATTATAAAAAAATTCCACTGAGTGAAAGGTCTGTGAGACTGTAAAAGTGTGTCCTAGGGGAAACAGCAGAAACCCAGTCACTAAGACAGAGCTTCTGAATTTAAATGAATTTAAGGTTCATCAGTAAATGTCATGGAATTGGGATTATTCTTCCCTTTCCACAATAATAAATGGGAAGGGTAGCCAAAGAACACAAAAATGTCGTAGATTTAGAATATGAGTCTGAAGAAAGCATTGGACCATACACAGAATGATGCTAAAGGATGGTGAATTATGTGACATATAACTATTCTTCTTAGAGTCCTGTGAAAGAATACTGGTCACCAGATGAATTCAGATACATCATCTCATGAGGTTTATTTGAAATAAAATTCCTCAGTGCATCTGCATAATTCAGAGAAGCCACACTTCAAATTTCAATTCTGCAACAACCAGAGAAGCGCTAGAAGAACTCTTTCCATTCTTTCCCCATCAGCTGCATCCCAACAGACATTTGGGATGCAAGAAATCTAACAGGACTAAGTGGAAGGTGATTCAAAAACCCACAGGAAAAAAAAACAGAATATGTATCCACAGGCTGGTCCTACTCAATCACATCCTAAAGACCCACTAAAATATTTCACAGATTCTATATTGTATGGCACAGTCACTGGAAGCATTTACTGCTGATCAGAATATTTCTATTTTGTTTTACATTGCAAGGCTATCCTTAAAAATTAAATTTAAAAAATGATTCTTCCGACTATAGTCCATATGCCTTAACATATTTATTCCTTCTCTTTATAAATCTCAATATGTTTGTCTAGCTGGTTAATGTACTTGGCTAGCTACCCCTGAGCTACTCTATAAAATCAAGCATCTATACTGGCACTAAAAGCAATCACCTTCACAGTCTGAAAATATCAAAATAAGAAAAGGAGCATACAAAAATCAGATGTCAAGAAAATGTAAAAAGTGCAGTTAAGAAACTGCTAGAGAAAACTTTCTTTTGAAAGCAGATCACCTTCCTTCATCCCTTGCCAGAACATGTAAGCAAGTATAGCAACGAAGACAAAAATGTATACAAAATGAACAATGGGAAAATCTGCCTACAAGATATAAAGACACATCCTAGATCTGCAGCCCATCTGAATTACACCACATGCTTTATACGAGACCCATGTGAACATCACAAATGTTTAATCTCCCCTAGAAATTTTTCCCACTTTTTTCCATGATACAATCCACACCCTGAGAAATAATCAAAAAAGAACCAAAAAAAAAAAAAGATTCATTTTTATTGCAGCTATGTTCTTTGTGTTTTAGAAACAGAATCTGTTTAGTATAAAGTTCTTGATACAGGACCTACAAATTGCCAGGAATTTAAGAATGTGTTAGAGCTCTCATTTTTAAAAAAAAAAAAAAAAAAAAGTTGAGAAATTATGCTTTTGGCTGGTGTTTTATTAAAATAAGGTATAATGGAGAAATGTACTAAAACTTCCATTTAAAAAAAAATATCAAAAATACCAAAGGCATTACAAGAAACCACACAACTTCTCAAAAGAAATTTTTGGACCTGGGTGTATTTACTTTTTTAAAATTCTACATTATCTATTAGTGCTTAAAAAAATTAAACAGGGCATGAAATAAATTTCTGTCTCCAGCAGATGCGCAAACATTTTCACTTTGTTATATCTTAAATGGTGTGGAAGACCAACAGCCCCAATTCAGTGAGATCTCCTGATCTCAGTACAAAAAAAGACAAAGGCAAAAACATTTTTGTACTTTATAAAGACTACAATGAAGATAACCTGCAAGTCTGGGTATAAATGCTGTAGCATCTGAAGATCTCCAACTTTGTTCTCTGATCCTGACCTTCCCACTATGTCACATATTTCATACCTGTAATTTGCCTGTCACCGCATTTTCAACATTGCCCAATATGACCTCGCTTCACCTCCTTTCCTGAAACCCCAGTTCCTTTGTCTTCCTTCTCAATTTACAACTCTGCCACCTCCCATAATTTCAGTTCTATAGAAAACAGAATTTCCAGAAAACCATTATACTTTCTCTTACATTATTATTTTTACACACCAAAATCTTACATGACATTACATAGAGTAACTGGGAAACAAAGAAAAGAAGACAATCAGAGCTTTTCCCCTGAACATTGCATATTAAAATTAATTGGCTAAATCTTTAAGTAAATAATACCATTAAGTGAAACTATGCTGATTTATGCATCATAAGGATCTGGTCTTATGTGACAAATGACACCTGCTTTTTAAAATGGAGGATTTAAGGAATGGAAGAACAGTAGCAATGCAAATGAAGTGGCTGCATACAGTAGACTCTACAAGTCTGTCTGTAGATTCTACAGGTTATATTGGTCAAGGTCTATTTTTAAAGTGTTTATCGCATTTCCAGGCCTATCAACAAAAAAATGCTGTGGTTCTTTTCCTGTATATGTCTTCTACAGGATCACCTAGAACCTGCATGCTTCCTTCATACAGTGTGAAAAGTTCTTATACACAGAGTGCCTTGTTACAGCCTAATCAAGTCTTAAAACTCATCTTAATGGTAATTTGCCGAGTTGTACAAAACTACCACTAGATTTTCATACTCATTCCTGTTGATAGCATGAGAGTTCTAATACTCAAAGAACTAAAATTCCAAAGTGCAAACTCACACCTAAAAAAATGCATGTGTTCCTTTAAATATTTGGCTGCTAGCCAAAGGACAAACAGTAGAAGAGAAGGAAACCTTGCAAAGCAGAAATTATTTAAAATGCATATCATTCTATATGTTTTCTTCTTATCCTTAATGAAGATATTTGAAGCTTCACATCCATCAGTCATGAAAACTTTAAGACTTGTTTTGACGATTTCTGTATCATGTGAGTGATGGCAATTTTTGTCCCTTCAAAAACAGAACAAGGAGAGTCAATTGGGCAAGAAAAAAAAAAAATCTAAGCAAGTTTTCTTTTCTACAACTATTTAACTGAAAGTTACATTAAAATGAAAGCCTTTTTTAGAGTGACTATTACTAAGAATTAGATAAGAAAAGGAACATTTTCCAATATTCTCTGCCACTCATGTACAATAAATAATATTTAGTATTGGTCTTCATTTAATACCTTTCCATTTATTGAAATTAAGAACAGGTTTAAAACAAGATATACTTCAAGAGCAAATGTGACATATTAAGAGCTTTATGGCACCTAAAACTGTTAACAGTGAGAAGAGTTTTGTCCCGTTTATCAGAATTTAACAATCTCGGGTTCAACAGATCAGGTATAGTAAGATCGGTTTGCTGACAGCTACGTAAATGCTTTTCCACCTTGAGAGGTTCTCAGATGAATGATAAAAATAATATCTTCTGCTGCAAATCTTAATTTTAAGTGGAAGAAAAGGACTGATGAAAGAAAACAAAGTTTCATCAAAATGTGGCATTTATCAAAGATCAGAAGACTATGACAAAGCAAGGCACGTTTAATAGTCGTCTTATTCATCTGCTTTCTGTGCCACAGAAATATACTGAAGCTTTTTCTCTCAAAGGCATCAGAAGACTATGGTGATTGTAGGCTTTGTAAATTATTTTTATATCAACAGATTTGCTGAGATGCATTAGGAGTTTTGCTGTAAATTACTAAAACTGAATTGCTTCAAAATTAATAATGTTTAAATAAGCAAAATAGTTTTCCTGATGACAATGCTACTTAGGAACTTCAGCTATTTTTCTGTAGCTTAAGCGCTACTTTTTTCAACAGAATAAATATATTTGATTTTTTTTTTTTTTTAAAATAAGGATTCATTCCACATAGGCACTAACACTTCCATTTCTTCTGTAGCACAAACCCCCAGGGGAAGATAAAAATCTGCCCCAATATCCCAAGACACCAACATTGCCTGTGATGTAGTTCACAAGATCCTACAGTTTCCAAACGGGGACACAGTAACAGGTCTTCCGAGACAGAAAAATCTTTAGCATCCAAGACTACACAGGGGTGAATTTTCTTACTCCTTTACTCGCTGTGGAATTCAGACAAAGTAAAAGCATCTTGTCAAGAAGATAATGAAGGTCTAATTTACACAAGAAAATGGAAAATCAGGGAACTCTGATTCTCCAGAAGGTGCTGACACTTTCATTATCTGACCATAGACAAGCTGCATACATGTTCTGAATCTTAGCTTGCATAACTCTGAAAGAGCAGTCATGGTATTTATCTACCTGATATCAGAAACTTCGTACATAAACAGCAACACTACTAAGTATTTTTAGCATCAACAGACAATGGTAGGCAGAGAACAAGGCTTTAAGGCAATTAACTCTTACTTTATTTGCTTACATGGCCTCTAAAAAGGTAATAGGACCAGTTCCTCCTCAGGCAGTTTTTTCAGAGTTGCAAGTACACATTTCAAAAAAAGTACATCAATCTATCTCAGTTCCCTAGAATTTCACATACACAAAAATACCCCCTAAATATTAAACAAAACACAAACAAATAACTAGGATGGAAAGAATTCTAAAATAAAGTAAGATTTCATAATAATCATGACTACCAAAGCTGTTTGCCTAAATTTTTTTCTGACATTATGGTCAAATATTTAACAGCACTTCGAGAAATGAGATGGGTGGCTTTCCTCTTCAGTGTTTCCACTTCAGGTTGCTGTGACTCGTGTCTACGTTTAGCCTGTACCCAGGGCTAAACTATAACAGTTACTCTGTCACCCAACAACGCCTTACCAGCCAGGGAGGGGAATCAGGAAAAGGAGAACAGACTCGTGGGTAGAAGTGAAACAGATTTTAACGAGATAACACCAATACCAACAGAGACACACAGAGCTATACTCAGCCAAATGAATATCTAGTCCTCAGGAGCAGGGAAAAGCCACATGAAGAGCAGAAAGAACCCTAGAAGAACCCCCTCTCCCCAGCAAACCTTCCTCCTTTATAATAAGCATGACATTATGGAACAGGCTACACCTGTAGCTAAGTCAGGTCAGCTGTCCTGGCTGACTTGAGCCTGCCTAGCATGGCTGGCCTATGATTCTATCCCAGATAAACAAGGGACAGACTTGTTTTGCCCCATCTTAGTCTAGCTTACAAATAATATTTTTAAAAAAGCTATTTCCAAGACCTAAATTTATTTATATGAGAATGGGAGCATCAGCTTCAGTCTCCATAATTTCAAACTTTTTTTTTTTCTTTTTATTGAGCACTTTAATTCAGTACTTTATCACTTTATAAATAAAACACATTCAAGGTAGAAAGCTGGGAATAAATTGTATTCAGCACAAATTGTAATATTATAGATATTTATTACAGTTTTTAGGGCAATTATAAAAATATCAGAAAAGAAATATTAGAACTCATAAGAAACACTACTTGGAGTGCCCACTTTTACCTAGACAGCAGCTGAGCACATCACAATAAAAAGAGGTAAAAATACCAGATGGGACAATTTATACATCAAGCTTTACTTCTGATGTATTTTAAAATAAAGACCAAGCAATACTGTTTTATGAGCTTGACACCAAGAAATGTGTTACATCACTACACGTTTACTACCTGCTTGTGGTCAGCTCATAATATCTATGTATGAAATGCAAGGTACTCTGCAGGAACAAAGCCATCAGATCACAAGTCTTTAACGTAGTAGATTACATTTGGCATCATCTATGGAACAGCAGTCCTTACTGTAAAACTACAGTCAAAACCAGAAAAAAATAAAGTTGTGCCAAAAAGGTGCAAGTCAAAATCATGAACTCATTCAAAAAGCCAACATTAAAACACCATACATAAGAAAGGGAAAAGGGAACATGGTATACACTCAGGATTGTAGTAGCCCCTGCAGAAGTGGTGAAATAGCCTCTTCCTTACCTTTTCCTAAGTCAAAACGTAAACACGCTTTTATTTATCCAAAATGCTTCTCTCCATAGCTACTGAGTATTTCATAATAGAGATTTATGACAAGAAGACACGCAGAGAGCTACTTGTGTTGGCAAAGGTCAAGTTAAATCTTTTGTTTCCATTATTTAAACTGCATTAAGCTATTTTATTAATAGACCTTACCTTATTTTTCATGAACTTAGAGTGACTCTTGTAAACTTCTATTTGTTTGATTTCTTCTTCTCTGTCCTCTGTATTCAGAACTCCATTTGTCTTTAACATCTGTATTTCATCTTCAAGATCTCTTATATTGCGCTCAAGTGAAGCTATTTTTGTATCCTAAATTGTAAAAAAACAAGAGTATTTAAAACGATACAAAATGTAAAAGCATAATAGAATTATATCTGTACCTGCATGAACATTAAATAAGACAGCAAAAATAGATGGTACAAATACAGATCACACATATTACCACAAACCAAGAGTAATTCTATTGATTTTGGCTTAAAGAAATGAAGAATTTAGACCTCTCTCATCACCAGAAAAAAATGTACAAAGCTATATTCTGTTGTGTAGTCCGTAGAGAATACATTCTTGTCAAAATTCTGTCTTCATTCCTGCACAGTTAGGGATGAAGGGAGAATGGAAGATGCCCTATTTTCCACAGTACATGATAACATACCTTGTTTGCCTTACTAACCATCTAAGCCTCGCTATTCTTCCAAGCTCTTAAACACAAAGTTTAGCCTAGGGAGGCCAGTACATCATCGCTGCAGGACAACAGGCCACTTCATTATGCGACTCAGACTGAGGCTGAGCTTCCCTATGTCCAGAGTTCTGCCTGCTGTCAAGAGGAAGAAAGGTTGTCTCCTCATATACTTTTCCTCCACTACTTCAGCCACATCACTAAGAGGGGATTTAGAACTTCTTATTATGAGTGCCAAAATAAACAAAACCACAACCACTATCAAATTTCTACATCACAGCCAACAGCTGTCATGTGTGCCAGCACAGCACTGAAAACATCCAGGGATTTTTTCAGTCCTTGCCAGTCATTTGGAAATTGACTAAATCTCTTCAGTGAAAGTCCAAAGATTAAAAAGGTGATTATGCAAACTTCTCATATGATTTTCTGTTTAAAAGAGCATTGCAAAATGACTCATTAGGAAATCTGTTTGCAGCCATTTATTAAGAAATTGAAAACATTGTGATTCAGGTCAGACAATCAGGTCAAGAATGTGAAGGAGCAACCACCCATCAAAAATCAGCGATCAGGGTGAAGTTCTTGCTCCACTGAGGTCAATGAAAAAAAAAAAAAAATCAAAAAACAATCCTGATTCAGTAAAATTCAGTAAGAAATCTAATTTAGGAAAAAATACAAATTTAATTGACTCTTTAGTCAGGAAAAGCTAAGCCTGAATCACCGTTTAGCTACGACTTTGTTTCTGTTTCTTTTTTCAAAATTAGTTTTATTTTCCTGAGTTCTAAGAGTACCCCAGTACTTTCTCTAGGCTGCCTAAAAGCAAGCAAAACTAGAACTCCTGTAACACCTTCTTTCATAATACAGCTAGGCAAAATTAGCATTTTTAGACACATAATATTTTGGACAAAGTTCCAAAAAGCATCTGAACTTTTGGTACTAAAGCAAAAATGAAACTCACATTAATTTTGAGATTTACCAACCACTGTTACAAATCCACATGGATTCAAAACAATGTAATTTAGATGGCACACTATCATTCCTCCTTTTTCCTCTACCATTTTAGCTTTTATCTTTATAGTCATTAACAAGTCTCAGATTAAAAGAAGTTTTCTTTTATTATTTCTTACATTAGTAAAATTAATACAGGTTTTTGAATGGGAAGTATTTTAACTATTTAGCTTGCAGTACAAAAAGGTGTTCATAAACAAGTGAAAATATTCATAGTCTGAAAACCTGGAGGTTTTCCAAGATCTGACAGAATAAATATTGGTAATATGAAATTAAAGTTTGCATTTTCCTTACTGTTTTCACCCACAGAGAAACTCTACTTAAAAATAAATGATAACATGATTTAATTTACAGTAACTGTGGTTCTTCAAAATTTTTCTTTCTGAAGCTGATGCTCTTTCACCAAACATGCTGGAGTGCATACAGATACTCTTGACTACAGTAACTGAGCAAAATAACCTGAATTAACTTTTATGCCTTCAACTAAGGAAATAAAGAACACTCATTCTCAGCCAATCCTATTCCTGTGTGGGGCAATACATCTCAAAGAATGGTACTTACTGTAGTTAACAATACTATTATTTTGTAAGATATATAGAAACTTATTTGCCCACATCTTTTCCCTTATTAGTGTGTCAAAACCAATAATTCACACTATAGGAGCTGTGTGCGAGTATTCTACCTGTGCAGTGTGAAACAATCCCACGAAAATTAGCATTAGAACTTCCAAGCTTCTCTGCAAAGTAATGTCACACGAACACACCCAATGAACCACAAACAGGTGTCCCATATATCTCCATTAACGAAAGAATTTAGGATACAGACAGTTTGCCTAGAAAAGGAAGCGGTCACATAACAGTTCATTTGATAAATCATAGCACATATTGACCCAACTAGAAGGACTGCACAGATATAATCTATGCACACTGCCTTCATAACGTCAGAGCGACTGAGCTTAAGTTCAAGTTAATCTGAACTACATAGGAAACAAGTATTTGCCTTAATCTTCAACAACAAGGTGTCTCAGGCCTCTGTGCTTAATGAAAGGACAAGGAAGAGGACTATCAACAGTGAGGACTCAGTCAAGGCTTACTTGTGAGAACTCAGCCCATACAAATTTATTGGACACAACAGGCTGCATCCAAGCATACTGAGACAACTGTCTGATGTCCTTGCAAGCCCACTCTCTAGCATCTTCAAAAAATCATGGAAACTGGGGAAGATCCCTGACAACCAGAGGAAGGAAAATGTTGCACTCATCATGAAGAAGAGACCAAAAGAACAAACCAGGGAACTACAGCCTTGACAGCCTCACTTTGTTCCCTGGGAAAATTATGGTGAAGTCCTCTTGGATATTTTTGATGAAGGAGAAGGTAATTGTGAACAGTCAGTGGGGATTTACCAGCACTAAATCATGCCTGACCAACCCGATTGCCTTCTGTGATAAAATTATTAGATTTGTAGGTGAAGAAAGAACAGTGGGTGTCATTTAGCTCAACTTTAGCAAGGCTTTGGACACTGTCTCCCATATTTTTGTATCCAAGTTAAGACATGTCTGGATGGGTAGACAATTAGCAAGGTAAAAAACTATGCTGTTCTATGATCAGGCCTAGGGAATAGTGGTTAACATGTTGCACTTTACCTGAAAATCAGTAAACAAGAGTACCATGGGGTCCATACTGGGACCTGCCTGTTTAATACCTTTACCAATGACCCGAAACAGGCAATTAGAGTACTTGCTCACAAAGCCTGTAGATTACACCAAGCTGGGAGACCAGGCGATATGCTCAAGGGCAGGGCTGCAATACAAAGAGACCTAGATAGACTGGATGAATTGGCAGACAAGGACCTTAGGAAATCTGACAAAAGACGAAAGCAAAATCCCACACCTGGGAAGGAAGAAAACCTTGCAGCCATACCAGGTGGGGACCAATTCCCTGGGGAGCAGCTCTGCTGAAAAAGACTTGAGGATCTTGGTGGACAGCAAGCTTAACAGGAGCCAGCACTGTGACCTGGCAGCAAAGGTGGCAAACAACATCCTGGACTCTATTAACACGAACACTAGATGATCTTTCAAGGTCCCTTCCAACCCCTAACATTCTGTGATTCTGTGAACACAGCCAGCAAGTAGATAAAGGAAGAGGTTGTCACCTTCTACTCAGCATTCACTAGACTTTGTCTGGAGTACTGCGTCCAGTTTTAAGCCCTGCAGTACAACACAGGCTTGTTGAATGAGGTCAGCAGGGACCACCAAGAGGGCTGGGGGGCTGAAGTACTTGCCCTCTAAGAAGAGGCAGAAGAAAGCAGGCTTGTTCAGCCTAGAGAAGTAAAGGCTTTAAGGGGGACCTAAAAGTAGCCTTGCAGTACCTTAAATGATATATTTTGAGTATAAGCATTGGAAATGGTTGCCCAGAGAGATGGTGTCATCCATCTCTGGAGGTTTTTCAAGATCTGACAGGTTAAAGCCCTGATTGTGTGTCTTCATTGGTGCTTTGCAATCATGAGACACAATATACTGCAGGCAAATATTCATTAATTCCAATGGGGTAAAAAGAATATTCTTTCTCTGTCATTACTTCCATGGTAATTGTACTACAGTGATCTTAAGCCTCAATCTGTGATGCCACTGAAATATGCTCAGCATTTCCCTATCAACGTGTATAGATTTTTAGCACCCTTAATAACTAATGCCTTAATAATTAATCACAAATGGCTCTGCCATATAATTAATTGTAGAAGCAGATGGATGTGTTTCCCAAAAGTAGGACTGACTTCAACGCTTCTTTCTTGGCTTTTCTCTTCTGCAAATAGCCAGCTGCATCTTTCATAACCAAAGTAATGTAAAAATTAAATTTACAAGTCTTTACAAGATATAATTCCTTTTATTCATGTGTCAACAAGTTTTCAATCAAATACTGTTCCACTGAAAACATCAGAAAATCATGATACGATGACTGTAGGAAGCAGTAGAACATGGAAATAATCTCATTCAAAACAGTTAGTTGAAAATTAGCATGAGAATAAAAGCACATTTCTTCAGTGAAAGACCATGCCCTCATTAACAATTTTGTTCAATCACACAATCAAAACCACAGTAAATGAATAATAATACTATACTGATATAGGTAAGTATATACCAGTCCAACCATACAAAGAGAACGGCTTTAAAATGAACAGCAGGATAAACACTTGCTAACAGTCATATAAAGTGGCCTGGAAATTTTTGTGTGAGTCAGAATCCTGATAAATACACAGTCAGCTCCCTTCCAGATATTTAAAAATCCAGAATACAAATTTTCACTTAAAAAAAAAGGCGGCGGGGGAACTTGTCAAATTTTGCCTACTGTTAACACTGTGGAAATGGCAAAAATATACCTAGCCTGCTGCTGAATGCAGATTCATTCACTTGCATCACACTGTGATATACCAGTTTTCCCTGGCAGATATGTTTCTGGGCTGTGCAACTATGCAAATACACTGTGGCTCCTGTCTGAAGAGTATTTCACTGTGTTTGTGAAAGGATGTAAAATTTTTCAATAAGAAATCTCGAGGAATAGGAATTTAAAACAGAAATTAAGGAGAGCTATCTTCAATGACAGTAAACATAATTTCATACCATATAAACAAA